GGATGCGAAAGAGGAGGAGGAGGGAGAAGAAGAGGACGACAGCATGAAGGCTCACGTTGATGTCGATGGCAGAGGAGGAAAAGACTCCCGACGAAGCTCCCGCAGCGGCAACAATGGGTTAAGCAGCAGAACAACGGGGCAACTGCGCATCAGTGTCAACACGTGGGGGGGGGACGAGTAGCAAGCAGCGCAACGACGGAGCAACGGGCTGTTGCTGGGGAGGGACGGGGGGGTTGAACCACTCGCACGCAGTCCCAAACCGGCTGCCATAGATTCGAATTAAAAAATGGTCCGATATGGATCGTCGATCTTAGTGGATCGATGACCCAGATCGCATGATTTTTTTTTCGAATTTGGTAGGGGTCTTACAGAAGCCGCCACCGTGACGGGGTCCCGGGGGTTGATCGAAACCCCTTGGCTCCCCTAAAACCCTGGAAGAGGCCGGTCGCCTATTTTGCGCAGGGCCCGGAGGGTAATTTCCGGGTTCTTCCGGGGTTCTATTTCCGGCCAGATGAACTGGATGGTCCAGGGCCATCCGGATATCCGGAAAAAGAACTTAGGTGTTTTTCTTTTTGGTTTCAAAGAGATTTTTTTAGGGCTAAAAAAAAAGCAAAAAAAGTCTGAAAAACAAATTAAAAATATAAGGTTCTAGATCTTTTAAAGATGTACAACAACATATTTTTAATTTATTTTTTTAACTTTATGTATTAAAAAAACGTAAAAAAAAAAGAAATAACGGACACCCACACACCCCCATACACACATAGACACACAACACACAAACATACATACATACATGCATACATACATGCACACACACATACGCCAACAATCCCACGCACACTCACGCACACGCAATTACAGACACACACATACACAAACACATGTGCATACATACATATTCATGCACATACACACTCTCACACACAAGCACACACATATACATATGTGCGCACACACAACACACTTGAACACATATATGGGGGCCTTGGGGGTTGGGGGATGTGGGAGCGGATGATTTAGAGGGCTTCCGGGTAGGTTTAGGGATTGATGTCCGAGGGTTGTTGAGTGGTCGGTGGCAGGCCAAGTGGTGTTGGTCTCAATTAGTGGTAAAAGAGGTGCTTCAAAGGTTGGGGGGAATGTTTTTTTTTTTTTTTTTAGGGGGGTTTGAGCGCGCGGGTACCTAGGGCCACGTGTTTTGGACCCCACGTAACATTTTAGTTTTTTCGAAAAGCACGTGAGCGGCCATTTTCACGTTTAACGAGAATTCAATGGGATTTTTCCAGGTTCAACGAGATCCAATGGGAGTTTAATTCCCCCGTTTCCCGTTAGAAAAATACAAAACCGATTATGTTTTTTCTTTTATATGTTTTATCACTTTAATCAGGCTATAGACGTACTTGTGGTTATCAATCGGCATTTGTGCATTCTAGTTAGGCAATTACTTGATTGTGCATTGTCCTTTTCATTTTATCTAAGCTTCTATAAGGCTATAGACTATAAATGTCCTCATCTTCCTCCTGCAGTGCATACTGTAGATTATTCTTTATCCTTTTCAAGTCTTTCACTCGAATTAGGGTTAGACTTCAGTAGTGTTTATCTTTCTACTTTCATGCATACTAGGTAGACAATTAGTTGATTATGCATTCTCTTTTTTATGTTTTTCTTTGTTCTACTAGGTTATGGTCTATAGAAGTGCCCATCTTTCTACTTCGGTGCATACTAGGTTTATAGATAGTTGAGTTTGCATTCAAGTTGTCTTTTCACTCGTTTCGACCAATTCTCACTCTTTCTTGCAAGAATATTAGAGATGTGTCTCTATCTTGCACTTTGGTGCATAGTAGGTAGGCAGTTAGTTAACTTTCCCTTGTTCTTTTGATAGTCGTACACTCTTTCTTGTGTATAGACTGTAGGTAGGTTCTCATTGGTACTCTTGGCTATGCTAGGCTGTATGTATGTTATGTGAACATTGTCTTTTTAATATTTTTCTTCTTATACTAGCCGATCAACTATAGGTAGACTCTCCTTTCCAATTTAAAGTCTAGACCGTACGAGGTAGCATGTAGGTTGTGTTGACTTTATCATTTTGATGTTTTCCTACTCATATTAACCTATTGACTATAGATATATGCGTTCTTTCCTACTTTGAACTGTACTAGGTAGCATGTGTGTTCCATGCTTTTTGCTTCTTTGATGTTTTCCTACTCACATTAGCCTATAGACTATAGGTAAGCTCTTATTCTTATTTCAGACGATATTAGGTAGCATGCATATTATATGCACCTTATCTTTTTTACGTTTTTCTGCTCATATTAGCTTGTAGACTATAGATAGGGTATCTTTCCTACTTTGGATTATAGTGGGTAGTATTTATGTTGCGTGTAATTTATTAAAGTTGATTTTTTTACGTTTTCTTACTCATATTGGCCGATAGACTATAAATGGGCTTTCCTTTCTACGTCGGATTATACTAGGTATCATGTAAGTTATGTGAACGTTGTCTTCTACTTACATTAGCCTATAGACTATAGATAAACTCTCTTTCCTGCTTCAGATTATATTAGGTAGTATTTATGTTGTGTGTACCTTTTTTTTTTTTTCCCTATAAGTGGGCTCTCCTTTCTACTTCTAAACATATTAGGTAGCATGTATGTTATGCAAACTTTGTCTTTTTGATCCTTTCCCACCCACACTAGGATCTAGGCCACAAGTAGGCTCACCTCCGTACTTTAAACTACAATAGGCAGCAAGTGTAATTAATGCACTTTGTCTTTTGTATGGTTTTATACTTATACTAGCCCCTAGATGGTGGGGACAGTTCACTTTCCTACTTCGGATTCTTCTAGGCAAAGTTGTCACACGAGGATCCCCGAGGCCCAAGCGAGGGTAGGAGGTTTCATCCCCGGACCCCTGTCGTGGGGATCCCCCAACCTCACCCCCACCAAAAGACCCCCTCCCCTGCCCCAACACCGGCACCCCGCACCCCTGCCCCCGCCACCCCTGCCCCAACCCCTGCACCCCGCACTCCCGACCTCGCCAAACG